ACACCCCAATGTAATCTCAGCAACATAACACACCTCAGAGTACGCCCCCCTGTAATCTCAGCCACGTAACGCCTCGAAGAGTACGCTCCCCTGTAATCTCAGCCATGTAAATTCTTTGATGTAAGACACAAATTTTTATAGTCATTAGAAGCAAGCTTCTAACACCACAACAAACAGGATCACAAAAAGAGGTTGTGAGGGTCAGACTGACACACTGAGGCTGTTAAGAGTTTAGTTCGAAATTTTTTAATATCACTCAGCCACATTAGAGGAGCCAGCTGAATACTCAAGAAGAACCCAGCGTTTTCTTCAGCACTTCTAAAAGGGCAGGTTTTATTTTAGTTTCTCACTAATTGAAGTGTTTTCTTAAAAAAATGTTACCTAAATTAACAAAACATTTAATTAAAATGGGAAGCTTGATTAACATGTATTACAAGATTCTCTCTCCTTCAATCTTGTTTGGATTTACACCTCAACAAAATAACTTGAGAGGCCCAATGGGTAGCAATACTGCCTGATACCCCCATGGCTAAGGGTTCGAATCCCCCCTCCACTGTGGGTGTGGATTTGCATGTTCTTCCCCTCTCATGTGAGATTCCTCCTGCAGTCCAAAAACAAGCAGTTAGGCTAATGGTTTATCAGAATTGTCCATAGTGTGCGTGGTCATGCATCTAATACATTGGGGGAAATCAAATTTTATAATAAAATCTTTAAATGCAATAAAAAAAACTAAAAATGGCAAAAGTGTGAGTTGACAAGAGGACTGTGGAGCAGGCGATCAGCCTCCCAGGGAGTCGTCACACGGCGTACGTGTTAGTACAGGAAGAGCCACAGCAAACCAAAGCAAACCAAAGCAAACCAAAGCAAACCAGCTCATTACAGAGTCAGAGTCCCCTGGGGTGGGCGTGGCCGGTTTGGACCCCACTAGCGTCTCGCTGACCACCACAGGGTGGTATGTGCGCCGGGTGACAGTTTTCACCACCTTTGTCACCTGCGGATGGGCGGGGGGGGGGAGGGTTATACCACAAACAAAGCAACATTTACAATCCATCTTACAATGGGGGCAGTGAGGTCAATCAATGGGGGGTAAAGTGAGGCGATGGGCTGGTGGTATGTGCCGCACGTCTGTGAACCGTGATGCCTGGTCCAGATGTCTGTTAGCCATGATGTGTGAGCCGCAGTGCGTGTGCTGTGTGCATTGTACCTATGCGCCATGGTGCCTGTGCCGCAGGTCTGTGAGACGTGGTGCCTGTGCCGCATGTCTGTGAGACGTGGTGCCTGTGCCGCGCATCTGTGAGACGTGGTGCCTGTGCCGCATGTCTGTGAGACGTGGTGCCTGTGCCGCGCATCTGTGAGACGTGGTGCCTGTGCCGCATGTCTGTGAGACGTGGTGCCTGTGCCGCATGTCTGTGAGACGTGGTGCCTGTGCCGCGCATCTGTGAGACGCG